TATAAAATGCAGCTAGCATATCCATGTGCAAGTCTCACCACAGTAACGCCTCTATACAGAAATACCAGGCGTGAGGGAATATGGATTTAAGCCTTTCCCCAGTTGCAATATAAATTAAACTCTGCTGAAATCACAGGTTATTTCTTTGGCTGAACACATCCTAAAGACAAAAGCCTACTGCTAAACAATAATCCTACTTCCATAGCAAGTCTTATAGTTGAAAGGATGACAGACTGCAGTGGGGTTTGAAAACATCACATTCATATGAATGGAGATGTTCTAACTGCTGAAAGGCACGTGCATCCTGGAATAGCTGCTCTTCACCTCAAAACATGTGGATTTGAACAGAAAAATGACACCAGTCCTCCTGGGCTCCTACTGTTCTCTAGCCACTAACAATAAGTTGGGTAGTTGGGCATCAAACCTGGCATTTCTCCTAACGAGAGGTCTCCTAGGGTCACTCATCCATTATCAGCACCCAAACCTTTACACAAGTCACCCACATCCAGCTCTGGCAGTCAGGGTAACCTAACCCAAGTACCTGCTCAAAGCAGCATGTGGAGTCAAGAGAACATCCAGAGGTTCCTCCCAGTCTGAATTTCTCTGACTTTTCACAACTGAAGCTCCTTCCTGTCACAGTAAGGATTCCATCTTTTGAGAGCTAGGTCACACTCCACCAGCAGTGGTGCTCTGAGTTTCTAGTATGATAACGCACTTTTTTTTTTTTGAAAAAAAAAAAAAACAGTGCAAAAGAGAGGGGAAAATACATTTCCTCAAGGTTCACCTCAGATTCCTATTTTACCTGTTGAAATATCACAACCTAAAAAACGTTGCATGACCAGAGTTTGTGATTTCACACACTCATGTTCCATTCAACCACTTTTATACAAATTTTCAGCAGTCTTCTATGCTAGACAAGCTAAGTCAGCCCATGCCTCACAAATGTGGGGCTTTACAGAAACGGACAGCTTTACAGAAGTCCTTAGGCTAACAGCCTTCTGATAAAAACCTGTGGAAATTATGATGTATTTGATAAAAACAAGCTTGCCTAGTCCACTTCTGCATTCCCTGCAGATGCAAGAAGCTCTGAGGAGCAGGAAGGATGAAGAAAAGGCCAGATAACAACCACGCAACACCCATCAGGCTGTACAAAGCTTACATTACTGCTGTCTTCACCACCAACTCCTTCCTCATCCTCCCTCCCACCCTTTTCACAAGGTTAAGAGGTGAATCTCAATCTCTATCCTGCCAGGCCCTGCAGCCCACATACCATGGTTAGTGCCAGACTCCTGGGTGGATTCCTGGGATCCTGCACCACAGGCCATAGAGCACACCCAGGAACAGCTCCCCAGCAGTTCTGCAGGCATCGGGCACTGAGGGCTTAGCAGTGACCAGCCTCACAGCCCAAGCGTGGAGCAATTCTGAATTTATGGGCTTAGCCCAGCATAACTAATGGATTAAGTCTGCTTCAGAACACCTACTTAAAATATCTTGCTGGCTCCTCCTTAGCCTCACCTATCTGTGGAAAAAGTTGCTTCAACTTGAAAGACAGGCTGTCTGTAACACCTGCAGCAAATTCCACCACTAGTGCATACATCATCTTTGGCTCCATATCCAAAGAGGAGACAGAGAACTCAAAAGACAACAAGAAAATCAAAGTTAATTCCAAATCCCAGAGAAAATTCTACATGAAATTTACTGATTTTACAGTTAATATTCATCTTCAGCAAAGATGTAAAACTCATTACAGCAGCCATTCAGTAGAATTCACCACCTGTGGGAACCAGCAGGTTCCCACCAGTGCAAGGTGGTGAAGTAAAGAAAGTGATGCTGTTGTTAGCTCCAGATCTCAAGTTCTGCTGGAGAACCTAGCTGTTCCCTGTAAATCCCTTCAAGCAAAACCAGAACAACTGATAGATTTCAACCTATTCTGCAACAGGTTTAACTTCAGGTGGCACACATCTCAGGTGGGAGATCTACAAAGACAAATTTCTGTAGCAAATGTTTTCCTCAAATGACCATTTTTGCTGATGAGCTCATCCTTGAATCACCCTGCCATAAGCAGGCCATTCTACCCGCAGAAGGAGTCCTCACCCCAAAAAGCTCTAAGCTGCACATACACAGCTACTCTGCCAATAAACAAATAGCTGTCTTTTCTTAGGACAGCTTTGCAGTGCTAGAGACTGCAGAAATCCCAAGGCTCCTTTCTGTTATGAAGTGCAGAAGCCTTCTGGTTCGAAAAGGTCAGAAAGGAAGCGAGGATGCAAGTGAGTTATGTGAAAGGGCAGGCTGGCTGCCCTGGTATTTCCTTGGCAGGCACGGCAGGGAGGCCAGCAACACCCGTTCTCCTGGGCAAGCTTCCTTCTTGCCCACAGGATGCCTCCCTGCTCACACGGCTGCAGCTCCCACTCTGGGAGCACCAGTTGGCAGCCTGCCACACTGCTGACTTGAGCTACACTCAGCAGGGAAGCATCATCTGCAGGTGCTGCTGAACTCCAACCTGCAGCCCAAAGGTTGGGCAAGATACCCAGGCACTAACTACCTCTACCCAGGCACTCCCCAGGACATCAAGCTTTACAGAAAAACATAACTGGCTTTCACAGAGGAGAGCAGGGAGTACAAGCCAAGGAACAAAAGGTGACCAGAGACAATAACGTGGGCACGTTACACGCAGCACATTGTGTGTCACAGGAAAAGTCAAACTGTACTCTTGCAATAATCTGTTAGTTAATGACTAAGCAACACCAATTTGAAGCTCTAGCACAATGAGAGATCAAAAAAAATGAAAAATTGAGTCTGTTCCACAGGATGGTGGGAAAACAAGACAAAGTGATCACAATTCTAATGAACCAGTATGTTCTATCCAGAGAACGGCAGCTACCAAAACCCCATCTACCTACCTTCCTCTGTATCAGAGCCTAGGAAGTCAGAGAGTCATTAGCTAGTCCTCATTACCTATTAGCTACTCAGTAGTCCTATTACTTTAAAATTAGACAAAAAAAAATATACTGAAAAAAACAACTCCATCTAGAATCCAAACCCTCAGTTCATGCCTAACAGGCAAAGAAGTCTCCTCCGGCCTCCAAATAGTGCAAGAGAAAAAATGGGAGACATAAATAGATGTTTCAAATATTCCATATTGGCTCTTTGTTAATACCCACAAAGACATGCCCTGGAGTTCCAGGTGTGCGCTACAGCACACAATTTGAAAAAAAAAAAAAAAGGAACAACTATGACAAACAAAACAAACTCACTTACGTTTCCCCCACACCCAAGAGAATCCCAGGTATCTGTGTAGAAACCCAGTGAACACCAGCTCACACGAGAGCAGACACGAGTGTAACAGCTTTCCAAATTCCAAACTGCTCGAGTAGACAAGTGGGAAATAAATATAAATATTTATGGCTGAAAGCACAGTTCAGAGAGCAGTCAAGGTCTGAAGGGAAACTTCCAACTGAACCTGTTCAGAAGTGCTTCTGCACTCCTCCTGCTCCTGTGCTTTATTACTCCCAGGATAAAGCAAACAGAGGAGAGGAATTTCATTTCCTGGAACTTCTGAAGTTTCCCTCTCTCACTTATACACCCCCCCTCCCCCATTTTAGGATAATTGTTTCAAATAACAGAAGATGAACAGAGTGCTGAGATGTGACAGTATACAAATGAACACCTCTAAGCACAAGAGATGCAAGGAAATGCTCTCTAATGGCCAATAAGTATTAAAAAAAGTCAACAGCACTTATGCATTCCAGTTTTTATTTTCAGGTCATAAAAAGAGTCTTGCAATCAGGAGCAATTCCTGGGATTTAACAGCTGTAGGGTTAATGGTGCTAGGCATAGGTAGTTACGCCCAGCCTTTGATCTAACCAACGCTTCTTCACGCTGAAGTTAACCTTACCCTGAAGGGACATCAACATTAACAGAATCACAGCAGCAGCTACCAAAAGAAACTCTTGTTGAGAAGTACTCATGAAATCCCTTCCCACAGCTTGTGCTCCATGCAGGTTCATATCAGAAACTGAACTGCTCAACTGCCTTTGTAAGGTTAGTTGTGTTGTACAGTCAAGAAAAATAAGTTCCAGGTCCGGTCTCCTTACCTCAGGCGAGCTTACCCCACCCGATGGAGCCTCTCTCCCCTCCATAATACCTTTTCACATGTTTTGAGCTCAGCTTATACAGACATAATGTCCACACAGACAAAAATTGTGCAATTAAAAAAGTTTGATACTGCCACTTCAAGTTTTTGCAGTTCTGCTAGTGGAAAAACACCCCACTATCCAGCAAAAATGAAACATTAGAAGAGTATCCCACTGAAACAGGGAAGCTAGTTGAGTAGGTGCACTCAACCTCTGTCTTATAAGGAAGATCTTCAGCCTAAGTCCCCCCTGTCCCTCCATTCAACACAGACACTACACCAAGGGTCAAGCCACCCTGCAGCCTCTTGCACAAATTCACTGGAAGGCCAGCTCAGCCTGGCTCAGGACAGATTATCCATGAGGGCTGCCACGAGCTCATACCCAGAAAGCCTCCTGTCACACACTGAGCAGCTATCTTGGGAGCCTTGTTTTTAGAAGCATAGGGATGTGCCAAAGCACCACTTTGGAAGGCAGAGGAATTCTAAGAGTTCGTGTAATAAATATACAAGTAGTAAGAGTTTGAAGAATGCAAAAAAACAGCTTATGCTATCTAAAGACCACAAAAAAAACAAGGTTTCAGAGAGATATTGGGAAAAAGGCTGAGACAGAATTACAGAGCAGTCAGAACTTAAGTATTAGATTTTTAAGTATTAGATTTTGATACTGAAAGAAATACTAACAGTCACTGATGATCTTGTTCTTGGAGAAGAAAGCAGCATATTCTGCTTTTAGTCTACAGGAAAGTCACTGACATTTGGCGAAAATACAAAAAAAATGGACTAAGATTTTTTTGGACTGTTTGGACAATGAAGTTTAAAAAGCAAAGAACTGGGGAGAACACAGTAACTACTTCAGCTTTTATCTTACCTGGTGTTAACACCAACAAGGTGGCACTCAGACGTGTTCAAGTTTGTCAGATGGAAGTGATGATTCCGTGACGAGAGGCTGATTCACACACCTGGGGATACACAAAGAAGCAGGCATCAGCTGTGAGCACACAAGGGTAAGGAACACCTTCGCTGATGGTAAAAGCCTATCTGCTCAGTTGTCAGGACGCAGACACACACGCACGGCTCAGATGCAGGCCTTACTTGCAGAACTCCTACCTGCGTTCAAAGCTCATTGCATGAGTTATTCCCAAAGGGGGTTCAGAATTATCCTCACATATCCCACTTAATGTCAAGTACAAGAACTGCAGTTTCAAGCACTACTGAGGAAACTTTTCAGCAATACTCGAGCTCTGAGTTTTCTTTCACAGGATTGAGACTTCTGAGAAAGACCCTTGAAAAACACTATAGATATGCATGAAGCCCAGCAAACACATAGGCACACAGACTTCTACAAAATTAAAAAAAAAAAGTTATTTGATTCTTTTCCAAGCAAGCACAGGAAGAATACACATTTACTTCCACGGGACTAGAAAAACAGACGTGTTTTAATCTCTTTTCCTACCCTATTAGTGTAGATTATTCAGCATTAACGCTAGAAGTCCAAAAAATTAAAAATAAGAGATGACTGCCAATAATAGCAGCCTTTTTGAAGGCAAGTCAATCAATTGAGGACTAGGCAAATTGGGACAGCAAGAAATGAAAGTAAAAGCTGTGTAGCCAAAGTAAGAAATCTTTGTCTAATCTTGTTAAAAGATCTCCATGTTGTTAAACTTTTCCTTATCATATTTCAATGTCATTTTCTGAGACCTAAACATGCAAGTCTTGAGATGGAGGTCTTCATAGCTACTAAAATTACAAACTAGCCAGCTCCTCTTAGAGTCTCTTATTCAAACAACTGGGTGCCTACTTAAACACACAGCCCTGGATCAAACTGCCTTGCTTTCCACACCCATGGAGAGACTTTTAATGGATCTCTTCCGAGGCTTGTACGCTTTTACAGCTTCTGCTGAGAAAGCCAAGGCAAAGCCTATGATAAACTTCTAGAATTTTTATTGCATATTAAATAGAAATGAGCTTTCAGCATTTCAGGTTCACACAGCACTTTGCAATGCTACCCTGGTATGCTAAGGTACCACCACAAGTTTTTTTTCTAAAACACGCAGGTGTTTTTATGCCCCGAAGCAGGCAGAACATCCTTTACGCTCTTCAGAAAGGCCAGAGGGGCCTTTGCAAGGAGCTGGGTTCAAACCTTTCTGGCTGATCCCACATGCGGCCAGCGGGGCATCAAAGGCACCTGCAAGAGCGGGTAAGAGAAGGGCAGGTTTTATATCCACACAATCATGTTCTCCAATTTAGACACTTCTCCTGAAAAGCAGGGATATTAATCACCATTCCAGGATGCGGTTACTGTAGGGAAGGAATTCTCCTTGGATCTCGTTTCCAAGACTGAGGAATAAGCTGTATAGGCTATTTTGGAGGCAGTTTTAGTCTGAAGCCTCAACAGCAGAAGATAAAGTCTTTTACTGCCCATGAATTTTCTTTTGCATTTTGGAGCTTTGCTAGGGAGTTACTTTTCCCCCTCTTTTTTTCATCTGAAGGAATTTTAATTAGCGCACCTTTCCAGTTCAGATAAATAAAATGCCTCTTGAGGATCCTCAGCACAAACAGGCTTCAAAAACCAACAGAGATCCCACATCATAATTGTATTTATACAGGCTGTTTCAATATCTGTTCCTTGAAAACTCCTCAGAAGTTATTTACCCCCAGGGAAAGAGAGAAAGGAAGAAAAAAAGAAAAGAAAAAAAACATACCCTACACATGTGAGGGACATTCAAGCATTTAATTAACATTTAGAGCTTTAAATACAAATTACAGCTCCTTTCAAGGCAAGCTGCCATAACAGATACTGTTGAAAATCAGTTGCAAATATAGCCATTGAAAGGTCTGTTTTTACATAGCTTAAAAAAAACATTCTCACATACAAAAATCTGTGCAGCTATTTTTTTTTTTTCCAAAAACAAGATTCATATCAAAAGCATTTCCTTCTTAAAACTTCTGCTCCTTTACAGTCCTGCAGAAAGCAAGCTGATAGTCCAGTCTAACTTTCTTTGCACAGCTTTCTGGCTCTGAACGAGCCAGGCGAGAGCTTAGTTGTGACCAGAGATAACTTCACTTTCTCTTCTGGTATGAAAACCTATTAAACAAATGCAGGAGAAACCCGGGATCAGCAGCAAACCCCATTGACATTTAATTCCAAAAGCGAAATTACTTGAGGTTTACAGGATATTTCTGGAACTTCTAAAGTCTAAATTGGGATGGAGACACGGGATAGTAAGACTGGTTCACTGCTGAAAATTAGGTTAAAAAGGTGGATATTTCACTCCAGCAAGTTCAAGCAGCCAACAAATCAGTCAGTCTCGTAGAAAGCAAGTTTACATTATAGGCCCGAGAGCTTTCCTAGGAATAGGAAACACAGCACAACGCAGCATTGGTTTCCTACATACAAGTGCTTTCGGGAGCTCATTTGGGGCTCTCCCAACCCAGAGAGCTGCATTTCACCTCATCTACAAGATTAGGCTGTAGAGGTGACGACCCCCATTATACTGGGGAGGCCAATTTCCTGCTGGGCGGGCTGGTTGAGAGGACAGCAATTCCCCTTGGGGTGACAGGAGCCACACTCATCTTTTTTGCTATGCAGAAAGTGCTCAGTACCCGCTCTGCTTCTAAAGTCAGCCCATCGCTCAATGTACAGGCAGAAACAGCCACAGGCTGAGGGAAGGGGACAACTGAAGCAGAGGGGACAAGGTGGGAGTTTTCTATCTCTAGCTTTTGGTACTGCACCTCTTCAATAGTGTGATTCTCTTCATTAAATGGTCCTGACTTATCACACACAAATACCATCAGTTAGTTTTTGTTTTATCTGTTTGTCACTCTAAGATGAATACGCCAGGCTTCCACTGGTCTCCGGACAGAGGAGAAAAGGATGTTTCCAAAAAATGCATGTGGGGGTCAGCCTGGAAGCCTCAGGTTCAAAAGGAACGCTTGGTGCATTGCTACAAGAGAAATTCCCTTTATCAGCATCACTAGGCTCAGTCCAAAAAGAGCCTCTTTGCAGACTGCAACAAAACAAAAGCCACCATGATTCCCGAGACACAAACAACAGTGGCTTCTACCAGTCAGGACCAAAACCAACAGCATCCAAATGCAGGATAAAGTTTTTTTTTTTTTTTTTTTTTTTTAAAACTACATATATAAGCTCACTTCCTAAAATTTATATAAAGCATTTCCATTGGTTATACTTAAGACCAATTTTTTCAGCTCCTCAGCATTCAAGGCTGCCAGAGTCAGAAAATTCTGTGTAAGAAATGGAAAGCGAAATCCGGTGAACTACACAAAGGGACTCAGAGATGCACAGCATTTCCGTCACCCACCTGTCCCTAAGTAGTTCTTCCACACTGGGAGCTAATTCGAGAGACCTGGAATAATTCTGTCTACAGCCAGAATAGCTTCACAACTGAGATTAAGATATATGATGTCACTTCTAAAGACACAGCACTTGAGAAGATGACTGGATAAACACGACTACAGACTAATGTACTTGCAGCAAGAAAAAGCATGTTCTGTAACTGGAACCATGTTACGAGCAAAGGACTTTGCTACATATGGGTTAAGTTTTCCCTCTTCCGGTTCTAGGAAATGCCTACGTGTTTCTATTTACATACTCCTAAAATAGGACTCAATCCTCTCTGCCTCCCCGGGCTTTAAAGAGAGTGAGCCCAGCTCTGCTAGTGAAAGATCATCTCCCCACCTAAGCCTGCTCAGCTGGGATGAGCTGGCTGGAGCAGCCCGCAAGGGGCTCAGCGGGCAGGGGGGGCGCCAGGGCCGGCTATGGAAGGCAGAGTGGCAAATACTAGGGCAAGACTTGCAAGGCACTCACCTTTTCTGTAGACATCTGCAGCTCCTGGGCTTCTCTCGGAGCTTAGCAGGAAGACAGCCAACTTGTGAAAGGGGAAAAGAGAAAGAGACACTGGGTGCAGTGTCAGACTTGCCTGGTGTGGGAGCGGGTGGCAGAGCTTAGCCCTGCTTTGTCACGGGTGCACAGCAACTGAGACACATGCGGGGCGGTATGGCAGAAGGTAAGCGAGATGCGTGCGCCGATAAAACGGAGAAGTGATGCAACAGGAAGACAGCACACGCAAGTCTGCAGAGGAACTGAGGTTTTTAAGACCACTACATATGCTGCAGGGGCTGAAGCAGCTCTGCAGGCAAGAGTGAAACAGCCGAGAGCAAGCCCAGTCACAAGACGGAGCTGATGCAACCGGACCACCAAAGGCAGGACACTTGGTGACTTCAGCAAGTCCTGCCTGCTGGCGCCCCAAGCCGCCCACGCGAGCAGAGTGGCCATTTCAGTCCACCTTCACCCGCTGCACTAAATATAAACCCTGCTGATAACTGCCTGGGAACTGAAGCAGTTTCCAGAGAGACAGCGCACACAACAGCTCAAGGACACGGGGCTCTCCTCAAATGCCACAGGTGGCCATTCTGCATCTCGAGCAGAGAAAGGTGACAGAACCCAAGTCTGGGCTAGCATCATCGAGCTTGGGAATCTCAACCTCCAGCTCAGTACTCGCCCAGACCTAGAAGACTCCACTGAAGCATCTGCATATAAAAGCACTTCTTCTGAAAGGAGGGAGGAACATGAGCTTTGGCAGTGCCTTTTCTAACAGCAGGTTATGGCTTCCTTGTCATGTGCTGCTTTGCTCTGCAGTGCGGTGCAATGCCATCCAGCAGTGACAAACCCCTCCAGTTTTAAAAGCAAGCTACATCAGATGGCTTCCAGGAGCGCTCCCTTCACCTCAGTTCCACCATAAAAAACAGACCTTCCTACACGCAAATAGTGGTCTCTTCTCTATGGATCTCCCTGTAACACCAATCTAAAACATGAGACAGATCGATTTAAGAGGACAGATGAATGTTCAAGCTAAAAAAAAGGAAAAAAGAAAGTTCTTCTCTTTTTTAAACTTCTCCTTGCAGAATCATTACCATGCATGTTCTAAAGACAGATGTGTGATCAGTAAAATTTTCAGTGTCACAGCTACGCAGACTACTGTAAAAACATTGTTAACCCTGTATAGAAATACAGAGGGAAGCACAGTGGCACATGGAAACAAATGGAAGAAAAGGCAGCAAATACGCAAGCAGATTCAAAACAGACACGCGGGGGTGGGAGGGAAGGAACAAATCAAACCATATATTGCAGGGGAAAAAATCCTACAGCACTGGTGTTTAACATGCAAATTATCTTCTGCTTAGGTATTCTGCCTCCCCTTAATGCACACAGACAAGTCCTAGCTAGAGGCGCAGCTGGGGAGAGTCCCCTTTCCTCATTAGCTCCGATTTCTGAGCAAAAGTTAAGTGCTCTGAAAAAAAACTATTTCACTTCTGCTTTTGTCGTGAGAAAGCAGGAAAAAAGGAAAACAGAAGTGTAAAAATGACTAATATTAAATAAAAAGCAACGTGACACAGGATACAAGTGACAAGTCAGTGTCTGACAGCTACAGCGCAACCTAGGAGGAAAAAGGCTGAGAACGTAACACTAAAGATATTTTACAAGAAATTTAGGTGCTTCAGGCACCTAAATAAAGATGACTAAAAGAGGTTTAAATCCCCCAAGATCTTTTCCTCCCCTTGCTCTTACTGCAACTGTGGTGAGCAGACCGCGCCTCTCCAGCAACCTCGCAATTCCGGTGACAGCGGCTCCTGCCAGGAGCAGCACCATTACATAAGAGCATTTATGGGAACGCGCACAAAAAGCCACTAGGACGCGCAGCCAGGCGAGTGCAAAACCTCGCTGCGTGTCAGCTCACTGGAGCTCTTGACAATTCCAGAGACAACTTGAAGATAGTCTTAATTTGCAAGTTCACCTCCTCCCACATCCTTCCATGGTGCAGCAAAACCCACATTCCAGCGGCTACAGAAACCCAGCACATGGTTAGTAATAACGCAATTCCCTTGGGAACGAGCCCGGTCAGAACTACTGTATTTGCATGGGTCCGCTTTAAAAGAGCACTGCCAGCTTCTTAAGGAGAGCCACTACTTGCATTAAGGAAATTAGCAGAAATGCAAACCATTTACCAGGCTGCTCAGGTCTCGGGAGCCCAGGGATGTTTTATTTGAGCCCAGACCCTCCAGGAGATTCTCGGTCGGAGGGTTTACAAGCAACGTGCGCCAGGTTCAGTGGCCAAGGCAGCCCTGACCTCCGGGCACTAATGCAGCGCAGGATGAGTAAGAAACCAAAGGACCCCCCAAGGAACACACAAGTTTCCTGCTTTAAATCACCGTGCAGCAATGTCTTGGCTAATACCTTCATTGCATGGAGTTTTTTTCCATCGCTATCTCTCTAGCTACACCCATAATCTCTATAAAAGGAAAAACTGTGCAGAGATTTCTCGGTTGCCGCTGCGGGAGTTTCGGAACGCGGGGTCCCTCCGGGTGCCGAGGGCTCGGCCAAGCCGGGCTGCGGCCGCCCGCACCAGCCGCGGCTGCCGGCGCCGCTCGCAGCCTCCAGGCGAGGCGGCCTCGCCGCTGCCCCGGCATTACGCAGCGGGGCCGGGAGGAAGGCAGAGGCCGCGGCCGAGAGCCGGGGCAGCGCTCCCGGGCCGCCTGCCATTATACACATGCCCACAGCCGCACATTCTCCCTACAGACGCCGGCGCCGCTTCCCGTCGCGGCGGTACCGGTACCGACACCGCCCCCTTCCCGACAGCGCCGCCCGGGGCCGCCGAGCCCTTCCCTCCCTCCCCCGCCACGCACTCACCGGCGGCAGGTCCGCAGGGCGCCGGCGGCCGCGGCCCTCCGAGCCGGGCGGGCGACCGCTGCGGCGCGGCCCGCGCAGCCGAGCCGAGACGAACCGGGCCAGGTCGGTCCGGTCCGCTCCGGTCCGCTCCGGGGGCGGGGGCCACAGAGCCGCAGCGCGGAGCTCACACGTCGGCGGCGGCGGCCCCGGCCGCCCCAGCGTCTCGCCGCCCCAACGCC